TTAATTCTGGAGTTATGCTTTCCTTTTCAGAGGTAAAGATCATACTATTTACTGATAGTGTGTTTTTATAGAGAGCTAATATGCCCATTTTTGGTGTGTCTTTTGTTTCTCTGTCATGTCTTACAGTAATGTAGTTGTTTATATTAATTCTGTTATGTTTTTTCATCAATGTCTCTGTTATTATTACTATATCCACTTTGGTGTGACTTATTATATCTTCAATCTCATGCTGTTTGGAAGTTCAGCCACCTTGGATGTTGACAAGAAGAACTGTGAATTTATTCATTGTTTGTGAAAAAGTAGGCTGCCATTTTTGATATTATTAGTGGTAATATGTGTGTTAGGTGCTTATTGGCGATGTTTATCATTATTGTTATGAATTCATCTTTCTGTTATGGGTTACCATGTTTTTTAGAATGTTAGTGAAGTTTTGTTTTTTTTTGCTCTTCTTGGTTGTCTTCTGTATTTTGTTCAGATTCTTGGTTTGCTTTTTCTTAGGGTGGTTTGCTTGTTGTTTCATTGGAAAATACTTTGTGTGTGTTTTTGAGTTTCTGTATTTTTAGGCATCGATAGGAGAAGTAGCTTGATTGTTGGTAGTGTTTGCTGTGTATTTGTTTTTATATGTGTTGCATTTTGTTTGTCTGTGTCATTTTGTAGCTGTTGGACATGTGTGTTCCTGATATTAAAAAAGTTTGTTTTTATGGATATATATTTAGTGCATCCTTTATAGTTTGCACTGTTAGTTTTCTTTACAATTACAGCATTTTGGTTGTTTATGTGTTTTTGGCCATTGTTTTACATTGTGGTTTAGACCACAAGCAAGCATCTTGGCTGTGACTTACAAGCCTCAGCTACGTGACCATAGCGTTGGCAGTTGTAGCATTATGTAACTGTGATGTCAGGCACTTTTGCTTCTTCTACCGGATGTCGTTGGTGCCATAACATAATATAGTGGTTGATTTGGTCTTGAATATTGTGGGTGTTTTCTGTGTGCACTTTTATTAAGTTTGTAGGTGTTTGTGTTTGGTGTGAGAAGATTCTTTTCCACTTTTGTATGTGGAATGTTAATGTCAGTTAGTGCCTCTTTGATATCTTCCGTGTCTGTGGTGTAGCGTATGCCTCAAATAATTGCTACAGCAACATATTTTTGATTTGGCATGAAACACTTGTGGATGGAACAATTATAGGCTGTTCATGCTAATAGACACTAATAGTTTTCAGATTCACATTCTCTTCTCAACATAATATTACACCACCATCTTCATCATAGTATAACCAGCTCTTATCCCTCTCCCACTTGCTTCTGTAACTACTTTTCTTGTTTTACCTTTTCATACTCATGGTCCCAATGCCTTTTGTACTGTTGCATTCTTTTTAAGATCATCAACATTATGTTCTCTTCATTTATGAAAATTTATAATTTTGTGTGATTTTGTGACTTTTATGCTGTGTTCTCCATGACTTTGATTGAATATCTTTTGGCAACACTGGTTTGTCACAGGTAGATTCTTAATCGTAAGTACAAAGTCTTTTTGCAACAACAGTTATTTTGATTAGGAAAGGACACTACTTTAAAAAGGAACAAAAAATAGATTACACTGGCAGTGATGCATAGATTTTCTTTCATTATTTATTTTGATTACACAGGTCTGCAAATTTAAACTCCATAAAAGTTGTTTTGTTTTAATCATGGATGTTCCATAATTCAGCTATGCAGATTTCAAAAATAATATTCATCGGGAAGAAAAAATTCTTACTCAGATCAAATTATTATCTCATTTACCACAATGAACATTTTTTATTATTATGTTTGTTAACAAAAATACAAACAAACTGAAGAAAAGAGAAAAACATTGATGTCAAATGAATATGCATCCTCATTCATCATGATTTATTTTTTTTGTGAAATCTATGTCTTTTTGTCTCAAAACAACGTATTTTGGTCTTTCTTATATGTATCATGTCTGGAGCATCTTGTTTCAATGATCAGCTGTAATCAGTGTACAGGAATTGCTGTAGAACATGTAATAATTTCAAGACAATAAAACCATCATAGGCCTGTGTAATTCATGCAGTAATCAGCCATCATGCTGATGTTCCACCTTCCCTGATACTTACTCTCCATTTCCCTGATATCTTGATGAAACTTTTTTGTTCTTCACTGATGGCATTGAGATTTTCAGAGAAAGAGTCAATATTTGAGTGTAAGAAATGAACTTTCAAGCTCATATTACAACCCAACTCGTTGAGTTTATTGAGCATGTTAATGCCAATATTTTGGTAATTTGCGTCCTTGTTGTTTCCTAAAAATTTGTCAATAACATCTTTAAAGGCAATCCACGATTCTTTTTTCAACTTTCTTCATTGTCTTTTTGAACTCTTCATCTGAAGTCAATTTCCTAACCTGAAGCCCAACATATATCCCTTCTTTATGTTTTGCTTCTAAAAGAGCTGGGAATTGCCCAAATAGATTCTTGAAACAGTCGCCATCTTTGTCTAAGGACTTTCTTTTCACGTTCAATGTTTTTCGATCCTGGTATCAGGCTGACTCTGCGTGGCTATTGATTCTTTATACAACAAATTTACCACAAATATAACAGAATATGTTTGGGTCATTTACACAACCTCTTGTTGCCATAGCAACAAATAAATAATATTTAAAATAAAAAAATAATATTAAAGTGCATGCACAAACAAATACTATCCAGAAATGACACATCATGCAGCATATTATCTGTTTATATACTAGTGGTGTGTTTATCATGGGTTCTAGAATGATTGGTAAGACTCTCATGTTGCGATTGATCTAGAGAAATCTATAGCCAGTGGTTGTCAACATTTTAAGCGTAACAAAATGTGACCCAATTTCAATGAAAATGATTCACTTATGTAAAAGGACATATGATATTTTGTGAAAAATCTGTAAGTGAAAAATGGACATCATTTTTGGATTCAGCATGCAGGAATAACTGTAGAACGTATAAAAATTTCAAGACAATAAAACCATTGTAGGCCTGTGTTATTAAAGGACACTACTGTAAAAAGGAACAAAAACTTACTGTTATACCATACTTTAGAGAGAAATTAAAGATCATATATGAAATAAAAATCCTTTAAGTGGTCTGAAAAAATGAAATGGTTGACTCGTGTTTTTTTTTTCATGAAATACGAGTTCACAACAAAATAAATTGAGATATCTTGATGTCTTTAGTTTCCTTTAAATTTACATAACATCTACTGTTTAATTCAGTGATTTTTCTGATAACCTCCACTACAACATACATTTTACAAAAAGTTATAGTTATAATTCATGTTTTGGGGGCCTGGCTGACTCCCTTAAAAAATGTTAGGTGTGAGCCTTGTAAACAGAATGAAAGTATTCATCACTAACATAAACAAAAGCTAAATAAATTATTCTTTTTGGTGTGGTTATCTTGCTATTATGAATTTATTCTACCAAATAGCATAATATCTAAATAAATGTAATGAGTTACAAGTACATATTTGTGGATAAGCATTTAAAAGCAGTATTTTATTTATGACAGAAGTAAATAATTTTAGATTGATTCACTTCTACTGAGACATAATTTATTAATTCAAATTTTGATTCAAACTAGACAGCTGTTACTCAAACTGTATATAAAATGTATATTATAGGTAATATAGTATGGAATAAGTATCAAGTACCAGTTAAAAATCAGAAGTAGAGACTGGAACAGAATATTTTAATAAAATGTATATACAATTCTTACTCCTTATACTGTAGGTTAAACCATTATCTAGAAATCCATTAAATTATTGCTTTAAATCAATCACTGTATTTTTGTATTAATGGTTACATGTTTACTGTAATTATCATGCAAATGTACAAATGTTTTACTCGTGCAGTGAAAACTTGATAGTTATATGGAATATAAATCATCTGTGTTTAACTGACTTTTTTGGATTTATTGCGAAGCTTACTTAATATTTTGACTGGAGTAAAATGAGAATAGTTGATGAAGGCTTCTATTTCAGTTTAAAGCAAAATAAATGTTTTTGTATCTAGGATCCAAGAGTGAACAATCATTTTTGTCAAATGTGAAATAGTCATAATATCATATTTTCCATGTGAATAACTACATTCAGCTTTAAAATTGTTAGCAGTATGCATGGAAGAATGAGACTTTTCTGAATGTTAAAAAGTAAAAATAATAATATGATAATATTGTTAGATTCTCTTTTTATAAAATTAGAGTTTGTGAAGGGCTTTAGTTTCATATAATAATTTCTTTTAGAAAAGTTGCTAAAAATCTACAATAACAATTTTAATACTACTCTTAATTATAAGTAAAAGGCAAACTATAGAAATCTTTTGTTTTTACTCCATCTAAAGTAATCAGTTTGGTAACCCTCACTGTTAGCAGTTTTATCAGCCCTTAACCCAAGAACATATGAAAAGGTTAAGCCTGCATAGCCAATGCTCTAAACACAAAAGCAGAATTGTCACATGTAAAGCTTCATGTACCCTTCTTATCACAGTTGGCCAGTGTAGGTAATATTGTTTAAGAAATTTAATATTATGAATAGTTAAAATAAATAATTAATTAATTAAACTTAATGCTGTAAGTTAATATAAGTTACAGAAACACACATAAGCTTGTCTTATTTAGTATGTGGCAAGTTCAGGCTGAACAGTAACGCTGATTGTATGTGCATGATCTTTCATGCATCTGGTCAAGTTCTACTCGTTTTAATCCTTTATAGTGTATCAAAGTAATCTTGTTAAAGTAAGTTCCCAACAGCCAAATTTGAAAGAAGGCTTATGATGAGAACTAAGTGTGACCAGTTTCTAAAAGTGTAAAGAAAAGTTAGCATAAAATCAGAAATAACACATGTAGTTTTAAATGATAACTGATATTGTAAATGTTAAAGTAAGTGGTCAAGTTAACCTTATGGATTTAGTGTTGTTCCCAAACACTGTCTAGGTAATACTAAGCATAATTTTGTTTTGTTTTCAGATTTTTTTACATCTTCATTGCGTTGTAAGGTGGATTGTCCAGATAAGCTGAGTGTTATTTATGGAGAAAAGAATGAGGATTTCTTACCTAGCCATTACCATTACTTACAGTTTGCATACTTTCATAGTAAGTGCAATAATGGAAGAATATTAATTTTGAACTTCAGTTTGAAGGATGCATTTTAAACTTAAATCCAGTTTTTATAATTTAACAATTATAAATCTTTATTATTCACTATGAATAAGATTTATCTATTCAGATTGTCAGAAGTGGCAATAAATAAAAACACCATTCTGTTTTAGCTGCTAATATTCAAGGCATGATTTAAAATGTGGATAAAGAATTCCAATTGAATTTCACTTCACAGATAATGTACATAGAAAACACTTCCCCATTTTGCTTTTTTGTGTCATGCAAATGTTGTTATGGTGAAAAGACATCATGGTAAAAATGTTATGTAGTATTTTCAGGTTTTATTGCATATATTATCCTCCCTACAATATTTTTGCATTGCTTCATAATTTTACTTGTTCAGGTGTATATATGTGTATATATATAAAACTGATTCTCTGAAAAGGTAATTTCTATGTACATATTACTTTATTTTTTCATGATTATTTCTCACTTTGATGTACTTCACCACAGAATACCTTTTGTTTGCAGGTATTAATGTTTTTTCTGATGTACAATCTAATGTTGTCACGAGTTTTATCTTTGAGTAGCACTGTTGGATTATTTGGTAAAAATAATGCCAAGGATATTTTCACTTGTACATAGTTGTAGGCCTAAGCTCATAAATAAGACTTTTAATATAGGCCTATATTTACTTGTATAGTTTAACTTAAATTACATACACCTAACTTAGCTCCTTAGCTTTGATAGATAAACATGTAACTCACTGAGTAACTGAACAGTAAAATAGATGTGATAAATCTCTGAAGCACTCTCTAATTATTTACACTGAACTCTCATTGAACACTTCACTCTGACATTAACATTAATCATTTTTTGTATTTGTAGCTAATGTACCCACATGTAGATATTAGTCAAAGTTTTTCAAGCTTAATTTCATACACCCTATAGCTAACACCTAAATAAAAGAACATTGAAAATATAGCTTACAACATTATTTGAATTTTGAATGTGCATATTTGAGTTTGGAAGAATTGACTTCTTTACCAGATGTTAATGAACTGAAACCACAAATTACACATATGATACACTGAAGCTCCAAAGCAGCCTTCCAGATTTTATTATTTTTTAATGGCACTCAGAAACAAGTGGGTAAAACATATTAAAATGGCATGAGATAACCTTTTTCCTTGCATTTCTGCATCATTCAGATGGTTCTTCAGATCAAAATAAAATAGCTGCTAACAACACTGTTAAATATATGGTTAATGTAATGAAGTACCACTAGTTTTCATTGTACAAGCTTCACTCCAGTAATACAATGTAGTTAACTTTCAAACATGGTTGTGTATAACATTGACACCTTGCTTTCAAACATGCCTGTGTATAACATTGACACCTTGTGGGCCAGGGATATTTTTAGGTGAGGCATATGAAAACTTGTATGTATGGCTATACTACAAGGTTATTGGGTAATTGTGCTGGGGCAATAATCTGCATGAAAGAAAATTGAATTGTAATAAAACATTGAGGAATTAACTTGTATGTATGTAGTCAAAACCTAAACTAAACACCAGTGACACCAAAAATCACTTTCATTTGTACCACATATGGAAACGTTTTTATAGTTTCACAAAAAAAAGGTGCGTTCTTCCCAGTTTTCTATTGTTGGTTCCAAATGGTATACTACATACCTATCAAGTACTCTATTTGTATGTGGTGGGTACAGTTTATTTCTAGGGTGGAGTTATATTAATTTATTCCACTTATCTTTGTAAGGCCAGTGTGATAGAGATCACATTAATGTGTATCTTTGTCAAGCCAGTGTGATACAGATCAGATTAATTTGTGTCTTTGTCAGGCCAGTGTGATATAGATCAGATTAATATGTATTTTTGTCAGGCCAGTGTGATATAGATCACATTAGTGTGTATTTTTACAGTACAGTTGATGTGCACAGCATTTTAAATTTTTAAAGATTTTCTGTAGTTTCAATTCACATGAAACTAACTTTACAATATTTATATATTTATAAATAATAGTTATTTAATACTTGTATTTTCAACAGATTTATAAATACTAATTATTAAAATGCTTGTACCTTCACCAGAGTTTACACAGAACAAAATCTGCTCTCTAATTTGTTTTAAATTTCAGTCGGAAAGGTACGAAAAGCTTGTGAGGCTGTAGCTTCCTACCTGTTGCTCATGCCTGAAGATCCCATCATGATAGAAAACAAAGTGTTTTATTCAAAGTTGAATGAGGTTCAAGAGGAGTGGTTTGCTCCAAGACAGGTGTGTTAATGTATGATTAATGATAAAGGAAACTCAAAGATGTGGTTTTCATTTTATATTTGGAGTTAGAAATTTAATATCAGCATACAGACATGTGTACTGGAATCTGCTTCCAATACACATAAAACAAAAACTTTATTTTTTTTGTGTGTGTGTGTATATATATATATATATATATATATATATAGAGAGAGAGAGAGAGAGAGAGAAAGGTAAATAAACATGTAAGGTACATGTTAATATACCAGTAATCAGTGATCATGAGTGATCACATGGTTACAGTTGTCATTAGTTTAATCACACCTGCTTTTATAAATGTCTACTCTGATGTTACTTTATAGAATCCAAAGATTTTGTGTAAATGTTGCTATATAATGTTTTATCATGGCTGGCACAGTTTGTTTTTAATTTTTTGATTAACCTAAAATCTAATTGGGTGGTAACTTTGTTATGGCACACTTAACCTACCTATAGATGTATGCCTTTCACATTTGTTTAACAGAATTTGCCAAAGATTTATAATGAAGTTGTATGTTTCTTCACCGAATAACTAATTACGCTTTCTAAAAGGAGGTACAGTATTTAATCAACTGCTCTTGCAGTTTTACATCAAGTTTCCATCATGTATAATAATATATTAACCAAACATAGTGTTTTTTTAATAGTGGAATTTATTAATAAAATTAAACAATGAAAAGAAGTAGATAAAAATGCTTTCTGCACTTTCACTACATGGATTTATTTTGCAACGTTTTGGCCTTAGGCCTAACCTCAGGCAAAGAACAAAATACAACCAACTGTGGTGGCATTTTGTTATTTGCCTGAAGTAGGCATAAGGCTGAAATTTTGCAAAATAAATCCATTTAGTAGGAGTGTGGAAAACATTTTTATCTCTTTTCGTTTTTAATTTTATAATAATAAATGTGAAGTTTGGACTTGCCATTGTCTAGGGTTAATGATGAGTGTGTAATTCCCTGAAAACAACATAATCGAGTGATAAGTGGTGAATTGAATGATAGATTAGGCTTCATATTAATTATTAGCATTTTGAAGAGTTTATCTGTTCAATATTTCAGAGGAATAAATTAATAGTAACAATGCTACATATTCTTAGAACTATATAAATATAGGCTCACTGTAGTGAGTAAAAGAAAATTAAAAACACCATAATATGTGTAATAAGGTTATCTGTGATGCAAACCATGCATTCTTGAACCTCCTTCCCATCAACATAATTGAGTCATTAACTCTGAACTTAATTAATTTTGTTAATAGTCATATAATTATTTTTTGTAATCAAATTCTACAATAATTTTGAGTGGAAATTTTATTAATGAGCTGTATAGAAATGAAAATTAAGTAGTAGATGTGTGTACACATACAGTTTCTGAAATATTCAACCCTCTTTCCTTTATAAATTCTGCTTTTTAAATTAATTTCTTTAATCGATTTCTGACTTTATATCTATAGTCTCCTCTTCTCTCAGTTTAAGTTACTGTTTTGTTTCTAAGACTTGTTTTATATCCTGTATTAATTCTGCATAATGATTTGGATAAACTCAAAGCTATAATCAAGCAGTGTGTAATTTTTCTCATTGGTTGCAAGTTAGGATCAGCATAAATATTTTATGTCCAAGTTATTTGAAAATTTTAAATCAACTTCATTATATGTGGTTAAAATGATACAGTGAAGTCAGTGCACATTTTATTTTACTTATTTATTTATTTTTTCTTAGTAAAACAACAAGTCTTTAGACACTCATGTTTTTTTCTTGCATCCCATGGTGATGAATATGACATATTTTTTGCAAAGCAAGGACACATAAGTTTGCTGATAATAAACAACCAGCTTGTTCTTGGAAAATAAATCTTTAAAATTAGATAAATTTGTAATTTTAAAAAACTTTTCAAAGCAGGCCAAATTTCTTCATAAGTATAATTTGCTTAAAAAATAATAACTTTCTTAACAGGTGAAACATATTGTATTGTACGTTTGTATAAGCTGTTTGTGATTTGTAATACACTGTATACATTAAAATTGCGTACACGTGTAAAATGCTTAAAATATATAGAAATAAGTATGAAAAAGAGGTACAGACAAACAAAAGACTATAAAAATAATACCACAGAAACAGTATTCTTAGCCTTGTGTGAAAATCACAAAATACACACATAAGGACCACATTAAACTAATGTTTAAGTGAATTTTACTTTTTGATTACTAAGTCTTTTTATATAATTTGCCATGTTTACAATATGAGTAAATGAAAAGGAAACTTGCTTCAAGATGAGATTTAAATTGTAAGCTAAGAGTTATATTTGTTTCATCACTTAATTCCATTATTATTTGAAGTGTCTTATCAGTATATTTTATACCACTATAAATTAATATTAATCTAAACAATTTTTTTTTTCATATAATGTCAGTTAGTTTCAGTTTTTATTTTACATGATCTTCTGCCTAAGATATTTAACCGGGTAGAAAACTGATTTAATAAGTTTGATTTGTGATTAGTTTCTATTCTTACTGTTAGTCTGCCAAAAACAATGCTTTTATTTTGTTTTAGAAACTGTTACTATGTGATTTAAACTATTGGTATTTGAATATTTTATTTACCATTTCATACAAGTCCAATTCTGTGTTATCTAACAAGTGTTTTGAAAATTGTTTTGAACAGAAATGAGTCTTATGTTTAATGTACCTTGATGTGTTGTTCATTGTTCATAACTTACATGTAAAAACAAGTATAGTTTCTAAATGACTACACACACACACACACACATACATACATATATATATATATATATA